ATGCTTCCAAACAAATTTATTGAGAAACAGATGTTTTCTTTAACATCTGCTTGGGAAAAACAGCATATAATTGATCTCTGAACAGGAAAAAATTCTATATACACAGAATGAAGTAAAAGGATGCAACCATCTATGGCACTAGCTTTCTGAGAAGCAAGTTGAATCAAAGTTTAATGTGAGAATTAAAAACATAGTATTAATCTTGTTAACAACAATTCCTCTATTGTACCAACCAAATTTTGATCAAACACATTTTAAAACAAATTTTATTTTTACAGGAAGCATTACCAAGTGATATTTTTGTTTCATTTAAGAACAAAGTGTTAAAATATGGCTGAATATAATGGTAAAAAACTTTGTTACATAAATGTTTAGATTTGACCTACCAGATCATCAGGTATGAAATTTTACAGCAGTTACTCACCGTATTGGAATCAACATCACTGTGTATAGCAACAGTTTTAATTCCCATCTTCTTGCACGTTTTAATCACCTAGCGATGGAGAGAGAAAGAGCAGGAAAAAATTGTTTTAAAGTGAAGACAAAAGACAGAAAATAGACAAATTACCATATTGTCTGCTATACTTACTCTACAGGCAATTTCCCCTCTGTTGGCAATAAGAAGCTTCTCAAAGGTCTGAAGAAGGAAAGGAGAAAGTATTAAAGAAAAGTTCTATGGCATGTGTGTATGTGTGTGTGTAGGTATTTAAATACCTATACATTCAATTCAATTCAAATAATTCACTCAAATATAAAAGGCTTGCCAAAGGAGTTAACATGCACATCAGCCACAGGTGCACAATACAATAAAGCCAAGAATCTATAGGAATCCTGGCTTATTCAGTTACCAGCAGCATGCAGAAAGCGCTAACCAAATCACAGAGCTTCTCTCAACAAACAAGAGGTGGAATCCAGGATTCTTTTTTGGTTTCCCTGGTTTATTGGGATGGGGACAAACCACAGAAGTGACTGTGCCCACATTTGGATAATACACGAAACAAAACAAGGAGCAAACTTTCTGATTTGTGATCAGTATGCAAAGGGATTTTGGGGGGGTTGCAGACTGCCAGAAATAGTGCAAATTGAGTCCACTTTTAGGGTTAGGGTTAGAGAATCATGGGAACTGTATTTGATTGTGGCACCAGAGCTCTCTGACAGAGAAGGCTCAATGCCTCAGGGGGGGGGAAAACAATTCCCACGATTCCCTAGCACTAACCCTAACCCTAAAAGTGGACTCAATTTGCACTGTTTCTGGCAGTCTGCAATCCCATTTTGTTGCACCTCTGAGACTGAGAGAAAAAAAGTTGATAGCGTAATCTTTCATAAACTTAAGTCTACTTCCTCAAATGATTTATGATTCATCATTCCTGCTACAAGCAAGAGCAACTGTGCACTTGTGCACTACATATACTAGCACACTGCTCAGAGCCAATAAGCTATGGTTCCCACAGAGCCCTGATTTATAGTATTATGCAGCAGTAGCCAATTTTTTTGAATTGGCTTTGTTCATATACATATAGGGTTTCTGCATATTTAATAGGGCTTTCTTAACCACTGTTAAAAGAAATTGGGGGTTAGCTTGTGGGCTGATGTTCTCCTTCCCTAGAGACACTCAAGCCTCAAAGGATATAATGGTATTAATCTTTACTGCCAACAGCTAGGTTCCTATTTCACTAGGCTTTTAACCCAGCTTCAAACTCTAATACGTATGGCTCCCAGTTAAGATTGGTGCAAAATGTTGTCTTTCTACCACTACTGAAGTTAATGGAAATTTACTCAATGGAGAGAGACGACTTTATATTCCCACCTTTCCCAACTTCCTAAATTCCAGCATTACTACATATGTTACTGCCAAACTGGCAGTAGAATAATTCAGAGAAACAAGCCATTCCAGTCCAATAGAACTTTCATTTTTATTTTGTGTATATATTCACAAAGACAAGTATCTATCTGTAAACTGAGATTCACTACTATATGTAAGTAGAACAATAAAGATACCTGACTTCAGAATTGTGCTCTCTGTGAGGAGTACAATAATTCTAGAACCAGCCCAGGGATATCAAGTAACCAACATCCCAATATACATCCATACTACAAATCCCCTTGGAGTGGCCCAGAAGCAAAACATTTGTAGACAACAGAATGCCTGTGAATGTTAGGAACCAAACACAGGTTAATATACTATAATATACTGATACAAGAGAAAATCCAGTTTAGTTTTGTCAGCAAGAGCACACGACAGCTTAGTCCCAAAAGCCAGTAACTAGAATTCATAGAATGGTATTATATACAACTAGGATTCTGATTCAAGTTTGATGCCAACTAATAACTGAAACTTGTGAATGCTGGAAGTCATGAGTAAGCCTATATTAGAGAGCAACAAATTGGCACCCCCATAATTACCTTTTCATTTGGATCATACACAGCTGACTGAAAAGTACGCGAAGTGATAAGGCACCATCTCCATCTTGAAATCTCTGCAATACGCTGTAATAGAAAGAAAACAAATATGGATGATTAAATCGTTCATAGCAAATACTTCAAAAATATTGTTGATTGGTTGGTTGGTTGTTTTATGTAACTTGTTATAAATTATGTGCTAGCAGAGAATAGTGAAGAAAAAATATGTAACAGAACAGCACTCTATTTTTACTTTTTAAATTGCCAGCACTGCATTAAATCTAAAGACTTTCTATAGAAAGTTAGCAGACTTTCTAAAACTTTTAAAGTATTTTCAAATTTACTATATTAAAAAATTCCTTAAAGCAAAGATTCTCAGACTTTTTACCATTGTGACCACCTTTACATCTACATGCAGACGTCACACACCGCTTGATACTGTATATCAATAAAAATATTTTGCTTGTTTAGTGTATATATTTTCATTCACACATTCATGTATATTCATATATTTTATAAGTAAGTAGCTCTCCTCTTTTGCCTTTTCCTCCTCCTTCAGTAGATATGAACCAAATACACAGCTATTTGTAGAACGTAGAATGAAATTTTCTGGTTATGTTCCAGGCCTTAACATCTTTAATATGAATATGTGTTTTTTGACTCTGGGCGCTTAGGTATTACTGCATGCTCTTCATTCTACGTTCTACAAATAGCTGTGTATTTGGTTCATATCTACTCCCTGAAATATACTAGGATTTTCATGGTGTCAGAAAATACCCCAGACATTTCTCAATGCAATTTCTTTTATCCATCACGACAGAATTAACAAAGAATACAAGATAAACAATAGTGTTATGAAATTCCTTCTTACCAATAAATGGTTTCTTACTAGTAAGTATAAATGGGTGTGATTCCCATGTGGATTTCCAAATAATTTCAGAAATTTGAAAAACATCTATAGTAGTGTAAACCTATAGTAATTTTTCCCTTATAAACATGAAATTTTGTCCTATTTTCATCCTATAATTATTAATGGCTTAAAATTTTCAGTTTATTGATGCTCTTTCATTCATAAGCTTTGATTTACATATGCTATCTCATATAAACATTTATAATTATTGAGCAGCATTCTGACAGCTTATAACACAAAAACATTATTATTCTGATAAAATATGAGAGATGAGCACTGAAAGCATAACAAACCAATACAAATGTACTGCTTTGCAACCATATCACTCTTTCCTTTGAAAGAATGAAATGCTTTCCATCTTGCTGTTCAGTTGGTTAATATTTAATTTAGAGGCCAAAACAGTCCTGGATGATAGTTTATATCAGATGGAGCTAACAGCAAGGACTAAGGCATCTAAATAAAGCAGCAATCAACTAAACAGCAAGGGAAGAACTTGTAGTATCTGCTGGACTTAATCCCTTTTCCCATTGCCATCCCCTTTTCCTTGTGTGTCTTGTCGGGCAAAGCACATACAATACCACTAAGTCTTATTTAAATTGTGAGCCTGAGAGCAACATGGTATAGTCGTTTGAGTATTGCACTATGACTCTGGAGTCCAAGGTTCAATTCCCAACTCGGCCATAAAATGCACTGGCAGATCCTGGACAAGTCACATGCTCTCAATAACCCCCTCTGAAGAAACTTGTCAAGAAAACACTATGATCGCCTTAGGATCCTCTTAAGTTGGAAACGACTTGAAGGCACACAACAACAACAACAAGCCTGAGGACAGAGAACTGTCAAATTAACAAATTGTAAGCCATTCTAAAAGCCTTTGTGGTTGAAGACTGGGGCTTAAATACCGTAATCTAAATAAATAAGATGGAAACCATCCAGTTGTATTTCAACTCTCCACCATGGACAATAAAAACTTCTTACTTAAAGGCACAACGTATTTTATAATATATCTGTTGTCCTTCAAATTCATCCTATACCTATTTTGGGTGGATAGCTAAGAAATACAAACAATAAATACACTGACTAAATTACAAGATGTAAAGGCACATCATTGCTTTTTCCTCTATATAAAAAGCAGCAACACTGGGGCAGAGGGCTGCTTAGAGTGGGATAGATGCATTGGTATCTGAATGGTGCAGCAATACTTTTTAAAGAACTGGTCTACATGGAAGAACACCATATGGGATGCAGTTCAGGCAATATTTCTGACGTGCATTGTTTTACACAATATAAATACCATGGCTGTGGGGTTTTTTCAAACAACTCAAAATTATAATTTTGCAGACAAATTCTGCAGTCACTATGAATTCCAGCATACATTTCTTTTGTTTCCATAACTTATTCTTCAACTCCTAGATGTGGGGAAGACCAAGGAACTAGAGATACCAATTAAATCCGTCCCTGCCCACTGGAAATGCTACTTCAGACTCTGAGGGGTCACCAACTGCTATCCAGATATTTTTATAGTGGTTGTTGTTGCTGTGCACCTTCAAGTCATTTTCGATTTATGGCAACCCTAAGGCAAACCTATCATGGTGTTTTCTTGGCAAGTTTCGTTCAGAGATGGTTTCTTTTTGCCTTCTTCTGGGACCAAGTGAATGTGACTTACCCAAGGTCACCCCATGGGTTCAATGGCCAAAGTGGGAATCGAACCCTGGTTTCCAGAGTCATAGTCCGACATTCAAACTACTACCCCACACTGGCTCTCTCCACATATTTTATCACAACCATAAGACTATAATCTTTAAGAAAAAGCTGATATTCACAAGGTGAATAAGTTTAAACCACATTCATATACTGAACAGTACACACTTCAGTGGGAATAAGTCCTCTTTGAAATCAGTTGAGCCTACTTGTAAGCAGATATGTAATGCCAACAATTTTCTGCATTTGCACAGATATCACATATAGTAATATTCACAGCGTGTACTGAACATTATAGAAGGTGAATTTCAGAAAGTAATGTACTGATAAGCACGCTATTTTACAATACCAGAAAAATGTCATTACATAGTGAAGAAATTAATCACTACATTTGATAAAGATAACCTTAAAAACAGCACTTATTTCAAAAGTTCATATACTGAATACTAAAAAATAACAGACAGAAGAAAACAAACACTGTAGCTTAATACGACAAACTAATTTGGCCATGGTACAAGTTATGTTAATTGACAGAATTTGTGAAGATCAGCTTCCAATACAATAAATTAAACTGTACGAACACATATGTGTTTATGTGCTTTTTTTCTGGGGAGGGGTTCTATAGCTTTCGTTCATTTCTAAAAGGAATCTGTGACCCAATATAAGTTAAAAACCACTTCGATACAAGGAATTGTAAGCAAGTTTTTTTCCTTCTACAAGCCCACACAACACCCATTAAAATGACCTGTTGAAATCACCAACCTTGTTGAAGGTACAGCTGTCAAGATAACTGCCCATTATATTATAAAATAGAATGACCAAGATCATAGGTGGATCTTAATGGAATCTATTTACCATGCTTTTGTTGTTGTTTCCAACTCATGGCAACCCTAACCTAAGGCAAACTTATCGTAGATTTTCTTGGCAAGATTTGTTCAGAGGGTGTCTGCATTTGCATTTGCCTTCCTCTAAGGCTGAGAGTGTGTGACTTGCTCAAAGTACCCAATGGGTTTCCACAATGGGTGGGTATTCCAAGAGTTCTCCCAGAGCTCTAGTCCGACACTGAAACCACTACACCCCACTGACTCTCTAAGGCTTTATCCACACTGCAGAAATAATCCAGTTTGACACTACTTTAATTGCCATCGCTCAATGCAATGGAATTCTGGGAATTGTAGTTTGTTGTGGCACCAGAGCTCTCTGACAGAAATTGCTAATGTTCACAAAACTACAGTTCCCAGAATCCCATAGCATTGAGCTGTGGCAGTTAAAGTGGTGTCACACTGGACTGCATTTGCAGTGCATATGCAGCCTAAGTTTACTATTACCACTTTTTTAAAAAATGCTTCACATTTTTTAAAGACGCTGAAAAGATTATTTTTTTTTTTAATTCCTGAGTTTAAAAAGTGGATTGATACTATTCAGGGAAAACAAATTGAAAACCTACCCTTGTCCCAAGAGGTCAAAAACTAGTTGCATGTTTTTATCAATTTTGCTATTGTACTTACACTGCTAGCTACTATTTGCCTTTGTAATTTTTCATATTCATACCAGACACAATACGTTGAGTCTCCCTTATCCAGAATTCCAAAATCCAAAGTATTCCAAAAACCAAAACATTTTTCATGCATAGCTAAGTGACACGTTTGCTTTCTGATGGCTTAATGTACACAAACTTTGTTTCACATACAAAACTATTTTAAAATATTATGTATAAAATTACTTTCAAACTATGTGTATAAAGCATATATGAAACATCAAAGAATTTTATGTTTAGCCTTGGGTCCCATTTCTAAGATATCTCATTATGTATATATGCAAATACAAGTATTCAAAAATCCAAAGAAATCCAAAATCCAAAACACCTCAGGTCCCAAGCATTTCAGATAAAGGAGACTCAATCTGTACTTTGTTGTTGTGTGCCTTCAAGTATGGTGGCCCTAGGAAGAACCTATCACAGGATTTCTTTGGCAAGATTTGTTCAAAAGGGCCTTTGCACTTGCCTTCCTCTAAGGCTGAGAGAGTGTGACTTGTCCAAGATCACCCAGTGGATTTCCATAGCAGAGAGAGGATTCAAATCCTTGTCTCCAGTATCATAGTCCAATGCTAAAATCACTACACCATGCTAGCTATCATACACAGTAATAAGCATCCTTTTCCCATTCTGGCTAGTTCATCATAACTTGGAGGTATACAAACTTAAACAGTAACATTTCCAATCCTCCACTCCAACGAGCTTTCAGCTCTTCATCTCATGAATAATTTAGTTTTTTATTCTCCCATTGTTAAATCACAGCCTGTGGGGCCAAATTTTCTTCAAGAAGTAGGGTTGAAATCTGTCGTCATTGGCAGACATAATTCACATTCAGAACAGCTTCAGGTGTAACTCTTGGCCTCAACTACAGTTTCCAGTCTGGACTGGAGCATATGAAATGGGAAATTAAATGAGAGACAATGATGAGGCCAGTACACTGCATAAGCCAACTAGTTGTTGCACAGATAATTTCCAAAGGAATGTTTCACAGTATTTCAAATAAAAAATCTTTCTGTTACTGTAACACCTACAATCCTGAAGTCACTGAGATAGTGACACCTTTGCTTTCTGATGGTTCAGTGTACACATAATTTGCTTCATGCACAAAATTATTCAAAATATTGTATAAAATTTTCAGGTTATGTGTATAAGGTGTATACAAAACATAAATTTATTTCATATTTAAACTGGGTCTCATCTTCAAGATGTCTTATTATGTATATGCAAATATTTCAAAATCCAAAACACTTCTGGTCCTATGCACTTTGGATAAGGGAGATACAACCCATATAACAATGGTCATCAGGATTAGTAACCAAACAGAAAAAAGAGCAAACCAATTATTACATTGTTACTGGATGCTACATGACTTGCTTTCAATTTATTTTCCTTCCCACCCACCCACCAAGAGGAAAGATTTGCTACTAAATGTTGTTTTGCCCTTTACGGCTTACTTTTCTATAGTCAAAAGGCTGCATAGAAATCAGGAAGAAGAGCTGTTCTTAACAAATCTGGGACTTGATGTAAGTGGTTTGGTTTATAAAATTTAAAAATATTTAACTCTCAAATTTCAGTGGTTATTTATATTAGCAGGCTCATACATCTGTACAGGATTTAGGTTAACCTGAAAACCTTAAATATTTGGTAATTTGAGGGGAGTTTTCTTCCAAAAAGTATCCGAGTATGTACAAGAATCTTACTGACATTCTAATGACCCTACAGTGACTTCTCTCACTATAATATAAACAGCTCAAATAACCAAAACAGTTCTCCAAATCTTTTCTCCAGATCTGTTCAGCCAGTTGGCAGTTTTGGTTATCCAGAGATTCCTCTCCTTCCACAAGCCTCTGATCTATTCCATGATACTATAAGCAAAAAAAAAAACCTGTCAGGATGGGTCTGAACATTCACTTTCAACATAGTCATCAGGTTTCTCTAGGTTTTAGTTTTCCAGCCCTTCTCGCCCCACAAAGCAGGGATGGCTCCAAACACTTTGCTGTTTGAAGTATACCTGCACCTGAAGGCAGCAACTAATCTATTGCCAGGAGTGCAGGGCAGGTACATATCATCCAATATTCCCTGTGGATTGAACCTACTGGGCCTTGACTGAGCTATTTTTAGGGCCCTTTCTCTCATAAACTCTTTTATATATACAGTCAGCCCTCTGTATCCACAGATTTTTTAATCCATGGATTCAAGCATCCACGGTATGAAAATATTTTTAAAATGTAT